CCTCGTCCACTAGATGGAGTGACATTTTTGATGTTCGCTCCAACTTCGGAAGAGGAATGAAATACTCTGAAAGAATTCCGATTTTCAATTGTGGAATATCATTGACTTTAGGTCGATGATGGTCACTATCTTGCACTGATGAGTGGCTAATAAGCCCGAAACCGGTCTGCAAGTGTGCCCGTTCCATAATTGAAGGTCGACTCTTTCAGTTGTATTGCCAATTGCATATGCAGGACATTTTCTGTGAAGATTCCTGCACTGACGCCTGTCTGATATAATCCAACGCCCTTCGTGGTATTAGCCAGGGGAGTAGTTGTTTTCTGATAGGCGTCAGTCCATTAAACCTACTGTGTAGGTATATAGAGACTGGCTTGAACGTATGAAGTTCAGTTGCTTTAGATAATTTTGATTTCTCTGTGTTGAAATTGAATAAAACGCAATAAGTAATGTTTGAGAAAGAACTGAAGGACATGGAACTGCTTTCTGAGCCACTCACTGTATGAGTTGTAGTTTCATAAAAAATGAGTGATTTACCTGTCCTTGCGTTTAGAGTAATGTTTTATCTACCTCTGTATATAAAGTGCAACTTTATTTCAACATGTGCCATAGGAAAAATATACATTTTGATTATCGCCTACGGTATATAAGGTAAGTCAAATTATTGGTGCATGTGATGCTATAGAACATAAATTACTGTAACTCAGATTCAAAAGTCGCATATGTAATTCAAATATTAGAAATCCAGGAACGATTTGAATAAAAACATCACATGGACCAAAATAATGTTTCAATTTACAGGACACTTCATTAAAACACACCGGGAACAAGTGACCAAATGAATCCTTACAATGGTACAGTTTCATATAACCCCATTAAAGTTCACTGAACATTTGTGTACCTATTTCAAGCCAGTTTGTAATCATAACTGAGTCTTGCCCATAACTGAACTTAGCTAGCTGGCCGTACTGTTGACCAACGAGACAGAAACACGTGTCTGCATTTTTGAGTGTTGTATCCCTTAGTTTTCTTCGTTTTCTAATGTAATTACGAAAGGGGATTTTATTGAAAAGGCCAGTGAAACTTAAGTGAGGAAGACAGAGAAATCAAACCAGTGATATCAAAAATGAACGAGTGAAAAATTTTACCTTGTACTAATGCTCATACTTCATATAACCATACTGTAACATGACTCTCATCTGCTTTAAAGAACTCCATTCTATACATTTTCCCTTGTTGATAATTTGCCATCATACCGACGCATTTTCAAAAGACATTCTTCTAATGACAAGCACATCATGATTAGACTATGGAATCACTTCTGTAAATGCCATTATACAATATAAATATCTGACTTATGTAACAGTTTTACTACATAATAGCCTTATAATAGCAGTAACACCTATGACATTTTTAGTTTTTCAAGTTTTTTTCAATATTAAAGTATGTGATTGAACATGTAACAATATCAAGAAAATGAATAATCTGTTTGAATTTTTTTCCGAATATCTACCAGACAAGGTTACCTAAATTTCTTTATAATCTCCTTATAATCTCTGAAAAACTTTTTCCTTTGGTTTCCGGCACGAAAATGTACACGAAAAATACTCCAATCAAAGAAGCGNTTGTCAGCAACCAAGAGACTATATCGTCAGATTTTTTTTTAAATATATATCTAACATGTCTGATGGTTTTTAAAATAGTTATATTATCAACACGAAAAAACTACTTTTCGGTGAGTAATTTAATTAAGAACCAATAATTTCTTGTGAAATTGAAACGATAATAATATATCGTATAAGTTTTGTGGAAGGTATGGTGATGAAAATTCATTGTTACAAAGCCCTGAAGAATAATTTAAATAAATTCGAAACGTTGGCAAGAAAACAATTGTTTTTTAAAGAAAAATTTGATCCTGTTACATAACCAACCTTTTTTTAGAATAATTGCAACATTTTTTTAAACTTTTTTCGAATCTGTCTGTCTGTCTGTTTTAAAATCTGTTTTTCCGTTAATCAGCTATCGCCCCCATACGAACGACAACTCTCAGAAGTTGAGAAACTTGTGCGAGCAAAGGACTAAAGAGGTATCACCTTTTAACGTGTGATTCCTAACACAGTTGCAGAATCATCCCAGCTTCAACCAAATAAATTCTCTCGAGAAAAATATCTGGTCGAGGCGGGAATCGAATCTACGGCCTTCCGATCGTGAGTCGGGCGCACTACCACCGCGGCCAATTCCACAATTCCGAATATATGATAACTGCCTTCTGAATATTCACAAATCAATCAATCAATGAGGAATTGAAACTAGTTTTTTTTGTCATCTTCATGAGTAATTACAAAAATGCAGAAGTCCTTTGCATCAGAAACAATGGTCCGTTTCGGGGTTTGAATTAAAATAAAAACATAGAAAAAGAAGGAAAAATATCTCATATCCCATCTCTAGAATACCATTGGTTGAATGAGTTCTGGAAAAAGATTAGTGCGAACAAAACACACCTGTAAAGTAGAAGGTATAGTGATGAATTCAGGATATGGAAGGGGACACAAATATGAAAGATTCTAATATTGAATGAACAATTCATGTGCGTTATATACGAAATGAAATCCGCTTAACAAGTGGCTTATCGCTGTTATACATTACCAAAAAAAATTATCTTTCTTAAAATAATTCACAAATTACACAAAAATCTGCTTGAGATCAGCTTTTTCTAAAGTCATCTATTCTCTGGGGAGTGCACTTGCTGCTGTCTTTGTCCCACCCCCTGTGAAAATTCCAAAGGAAGAAAAAGTAAATATAAACTTTATATTCATTTTGAGAAGATTTTAAAGACAATCTGTATTTACTAACGTCACCACCACTTTTTGATAAGTGTGAGACTATATCCATAAAACATA